AGGCTCAGGAAGGGTTAGAACACATCTGATGTCACCAGGCAGGAAGGTGAGGCTGGCACTTCACCCCAGGAACCCTCAGCCACAGGGACAGAGACAGAGAAGCTTAGGGACAGTGTCCCAGCCAGAGGGAGACCAGCAGGAACAGGTGGCAGGAGCCGACCTTTGAGTGTTTGGTTCCCAGCCTCTTGCGGAGGTGACCCCAGCCAACCGGTGATGTGAGTGACACGGGTTAGTGGGGCCTGGATCTGCTGCTCACCCAGCAACTAAAGACCCAGAGATGTGAGCCCCCAGGTAGTGGGGCTGGGCCTTGCCTGTTCCTCTGAAATGCAAATGGCCTGTCATTGTTCAGCAAGGGGAAACCCATTCCACGGGCTGACACAGGATAGGGTTTGTCTCTGTCTGTCTATCTGTCTGTCTGTCTGTCTGTCAGAATATTCCCCCACCCATCTGGGAGGGGGAAACCACTTCACTTTCACACCCACATGCCAGTCCTATGGCTGCTATTATTATCATCACTCATGCCCATTTTCCAGGTAGGAAAATCGAGACTGGAAACTAAGTGCCATTTTGAGGGTTGACTGCTGGAAACCCAGAGTGTTTCTTTGATCTAAGTTCCGTCTAGTGTCACAGTGCCAGGGACCCTGTAGATTAGACTCCCCTAGAAGTGCTGCAGGGGAAGCGTGGCAAGGCACACAGGGCCATGCTTAGCACAGGATGGCAGGTGCTAGGAGGGACCTCCCGTGCTCCTGTGGAGAGGGGTCCACACTGACCGCCACTGTTCAGGGGAGTGTGAGGGCCAGGCAGCAGGGAAGAGAGGCTCCCGTTTATCCCTGGTCCCTGCACAGCTCAGTGGAGAGGCCCGAATGCCAGGGAGACTAGGCAGGGAGCCAGGCTTTGGGGCTGGTGAGCTCCCACCACAGTGCTCCACCTGGGAATCCTGCAGGGTGACAGGCACACGGAGGCAGACATCCTGGAGTGGTGTGGGACAGAGCAAGGAGCCGACCAGCTCCAGGAGGCCCGGGGCAGTGTGGGAGCTGGGGCCTGACTGCCAGCCCCTAATAAGTGCAGCAACCCCACGAAGGGAGAAAGAGGAGCTGCCTGTGCTGAGGGTCAGACACCCCCTGGCTCACGTGAGCCCCTGGCCAGCGCAGGTCGGGAGGCTCAGGGGCCCTGAAGGGATTGCCTGCAGTCACGCGTTGGGTCACAAGTGCTGGAACCCAGATCTGCCCCGGCAAAGCTTGTGCTTTGCCACAGCCCCTGCCACACCATTTGGGGCTGTGCCTGCCCCAGGTTAGAGGAGGGAGACCCAAGGGGACTCCAGGCTCCGTGTTCTCCCCAACGCCCGGCGGGGTGGTGGTGGTGCTGGTTTGCTTGGCCCTGGTACTATGGAGCCCTGGACTCAGGGTGGGGGGTCTGACCCAGAGGACATCTATTATCTACCTGTGTGTCCCAGTACCAACCCCAGATTAGAGTGCAGACTCAGGTTCCAGTCCTTGCTCACAAGCAAAGAGATTTTGTTTTCTCCTGCCTAGCCTCAGTTTCTCCATCTGAAAAGCAGCGTGGTGGGCTCTCTCGACCCCTCCTAGGGCTCTGCAAAGACCCTGAAGGCAGAGGACAGCTCTGTAAGTGCCAGGCATGACAGTCACTGCCACGGAACTTTCAAGCTTGGGTGCTTGGGACTCACTGTTTCAACCAGCAACCTGGCACTTAAAGGGCTCCCGCTGTGTGCAGGGACACAGGTGGCCAACCCTCAGTGAGCCACAGGGCAGGTGGACGGCAGGACACCGGACAGCGCAGGTCTCACAGGGCCGAGGCAGGGTGGGAGTGGTCAGCGTGCAGAGGGCGCTGAGCTGGGGGTGTGGCAGCAAACACTGCCCAGAGGAGGAGCTACTCTCAGGTGCCCCCCGCCACTGTTAGACTTCCCCCAGCCTGGCTCCCCTATCTGATGTTCAGAGGCCAGAAGAGGGACTGCGAAGTGGCCCCCAGGGATGAGAAAGAGGGGTACGGCTGGCACGGGCCTACGAAGGCCCTGGCTGGAGGTGAGAAGGATTGCACAGGTGTGCCAGGCAGCTGTGGAGCAGGCAGATGCAGGAGGCCCAGGGCAGATGGGGCTCCTGAGAGGTGAGGAAAGAAATAAAAGAAATAATCAGGGTTGCACCATTGCCTCAGCCCCCCCCAAATGCTTTCTGGTAATCCTAACTCTCTGATGACAGCATTGTATTCTGATGACTGCCTAGAGCCTCAGTTTCTCTGCATGGAAAATGGGGGTGGCATAGAATCCAAGGTCTGCTACCCAGGAAGTGCTGGATAAATTGAAACAGTCGGTGGTCACAGGGGCAGGTCTATGTGACCCCCAAATCTAAAGCTTCAGTGTACTTTCAGACCCCTGAGTAGCTGGTTAATGTGAACAGAGGGATTCATGTGAGAAGATTTATTAGCAGGTAAGTAAATGCGCATATTACAATGATTGATAGGAGCTGTTCTAAGTCTTCACATGGAGTAACAAACTTAATTCTTGTAACAACCTATGAGATAGCAATGATTATTTCCCTCATTTTTCAAATGAAAAACAGAGGTCCAAGGAGGTTGAGTTAGTGGCTCAAGAGAAACCAGGGTTAAGGTCTACTGCTGACCCCCACAGGTACTGCCTATGGGATGCACCCACTGCCAGAGATTTGGATCCATGCTGGTGTCTAAGAGGCTGTTTTCACAAGTCCCCTCCAGCCACCCAGGGGCTCTGCAGGATCTCTGTCCAGAGAGACCCGCCAGCAGGGTCACCTCCGCTCCTCAGTGTCCAGCAAAGCATCGGACACAGTGGGGGGCTGTGGGAGGTTACTCAACGGGAATGGGGCCTGCACCACCGGACTCTAGGAGGCTGGCCCACCACCATGGATTAAGGAAGGGCCAGTGGGGGCACCTTCAACAGTTCAACAGGCCAGGGCCTCCACCTCACCCCCCTCTCTGCAGTCTCTGAGGGCCTACGGGGACAGATGGCATCATCCAGGCCTGCACTGAGGCTGTCACTCAGCCAGATGAGTTACAATTAGGCCAAAGGGGTGGTAGGTGGGGTGCTCCGAAACAATAGCATGGCGACTTCGGACAATGGGGGCCACGTGCCACTGGGGCAACAGTCGTTTGTCATACAATGGGCCTCTGGGGGACAGCAGCCGGGCCAACTGCTGCCATGACATGACATGGGCCAGCCGCTTTTCAAATCGATTGCCAGGCTGTGTTTTCCTATGAGGCAGCCAATGGCAGACACAGCCGGACAGTCACCTGATGCCAGCTGTGGGCCTTGGGCCCTGTGACAACTGAGCAGCGGTGGCCATAGCAACGCTAATTGTGACCCTAAAACACAAGGAGGGAGGGACCGAGGGAGGTAAGGAGAGGGAAAGAGAGCGGGAGGGAGAGAGGGAGACAGAGAGAGAGGAGGGAGGAGGGGAAGGAGAGACGGACGGGAGCGGAAGGCAGCCAGGCAGATGAAGGACAGGCCACAGGCCCTGCACCGGCTTTGGATGCACAGGAAGAGCAGCTGCCACACGCATGTCCTGTTTGCACTCATGTGAAACCATCATCAAGCTCATGAGCTCAAACTTGCCAGGCTGGTGCTCTCACTGGCTCTCTCTGTCTCTCTGCCTCTCCAATCTACTGTTTTTGGAGACTGAAATTTGCACTCTAGACCTCTTATAATACTGGCCAGCCACGGGGTGGCACATTTAGTGGTCCTGGTGAGGCACCTTGGCCCAGTTTGAGGCTGTACTACATCCCAGACCAGATGCCACTGTGAAGCCTGCTGCTGTCCAAGCCAAAGCACACAGTACCTCAAGGGCACCAGGAGAGCCTGAGCTGGGCAGCTGTGTGGTTCCCACAATGGCAGACTCCTTTCTTCTATGGACAGCAATGTTCCTGCTCATGCATCTGTTGAGGTGGTGGGCACGGGTTCTACCCGCAGAGAACTCTAACTTTGGGCTGCACTCTCCAGTTCTGGCCTCACTACTTCCTGTACTGTGTAGCCCAGTGCAAGTGACTCAGTGCTCCAAGCCTCAGTTTAGCCATCTGTAAAAGGGGGATATTTTGAGGTCTCAGGATGACTGCAGAATTGCCCAGGGCTTAACTGTTGAGCTGGCTGTCAGCTGTCTCTCCATGTGGCCTATCTGTCACCATGTTCCATGCCATTCACACAGATTACATAGCAGGACAACACTCTGGAGCTGGAGGTGGGCAAACGGGGTGCTGTGGTGGCCCCGATTCTGACAGAGCAGCTAGGAAGGACCCTGTTCACAGCCTCAGACTGCTCTGTGTCACGGTATCCCCAGGAAGTCCTGTAGTGCCTGTCTCTCCCTCTGGAAAATGAGAACAGGGTGAAGATTCCTTATCCAATATATTTGGAACAAGAAGTATTTCAGATAAGACTGTGTTCAGATTCTGCAGTATCTGCAGCTATATAGTGAGATGTCTTGGGGTGGGACCCAGGTCTAAACACAAAGCTCATTTATATTTCGTTTGCACTTTACACACACACCATCAAGGTGACTTTGTGCAGTACTTTTTGTGTGCCTGCATTTTGACTGTGACCCGTTATCTAAGCTCAGCTCATAGTGGAACGAAAGGGTTTGAATTTTGGAAGCCTGGATTAGGGACTTGTTCTATAACTACTCTGATCATCATATTGCCTGCCGCCGGGGAGTGCTGAATGGGTTAACACCGTGAAGGCCCTGACCAGTGCCTAGGGCACACTGCACAAGTGCTGGGAACATCAGTGTTTATCACCTTGGCAGCAGGATGTGGGTGAATGAAGGAACGATTTGAGGCTATGCCCTCTGCTGCCAAAGGATGACCCAAGGGCCGGGTGTCCACACCCAGTCCTGAGAAGGGCAGGCTGGAGGACCAGAGAGGCTTGGGGTGGTGAGGGGTTAGGGAGCACTTCCAGAAATCCAGTGGGTCCCAAGGAGCTGCCTGAAGCTCTCCCTCCCGCCCGAGCTCCCTGCTCCTCCCTGCAGGCTCCTGCCTTCCACCAGTGATGACGACCTCCCTGGGGACCTGCAGTCCCTGTCGTGGCTCACAACTGTGGATGTGCCTCGGCTGCAGCAGATGGCGAGTGGCCGCATGAACCCAGGAAGCCGTGGCATGCCACATCCACACCCAGGTAGGCTTGTAAGGTGAGGCAGGGTGAGGGTGGAGGAGGGAGGGGTGACTCCCAGCTCTGCTGCCCTTCCCCGCTGCCTGGCTATGAACAGGTCCCTTGTCTCTTGGGGGCTCTATTCCTACATCTGTAAAATGGGACAAGATCAAACCTTCCACAGAGTGATTCATTTAGCAACAAAGAGGGTAACCAGAAAACTGTGGCCCAAGTCAAATGCAGCCCCAGCCTGTTTTGCAGGGGCTGTGCACGGTTTTTAAATCAGGTATGACAATGCATGACAGTAATCCCTGCACCCTGAGGCTGAGTCTGGAGGACTCTAAATAGGATCCCATTCTGTACAACATAGCAGCTTAGCCAAGAGTCTCAAAAACAAAACACACACACATACAATTAAAAAAAAAACCCACAAAACCCAAAAAAGGATGAGGATGCCGATGCAGTTCAGTGCAAAGGGGTTCATTCCCCCGTACCAGAAAAAAAAATATATGAAAAAATAAAGTTCACTGCCCCTTTTGCTAGGAGACTAAGAATCCTGGAACACATAGTTACAATCTTAGCCAGTGAGTTAAATTCTTAAACACACAAGATGTTGAAGAAAAAAGAATACAATCACCACAGTATGTTACGAATGGCAAGTGTTAAAGGTCAGAAGCTATAAGTATTTCTCTCATTGGGCAAATTGTTCTTAAGCAAAACATGTAAAGCAAGGTTCAGAGAGAAAACTTCTCTTGTAAAAAGCCAGGAAATACATATTTTAGTCTTTTTAGGTTGGTCTGTTAAAACTATTCAGCCCTGTTTTGGCACAAAACAAGCCAGAGAAATACGTAAATGAGTAGGTGTGCCTGTGTGCCAATAAAACTTTATTTACACATCAGGCAGTGGGCCAAATCTGACCTGCAAGTCGTTTCCAAACCTCAATCTAGAACCCCGAAGAAGAGCTGTGTGATCCTGGCCCAGAGCCTTCTGTGATCTCTTTCTTCATCTGTACTAACACGGCACAGTCAGTAATGAAAGGGGTCAAACAGGGCAGCCAAGCTGGTGCAGTGAGAATCTGGGATGGATCAGCAATGTCTGTCACAGGTCCAGCATAGAAGGTGGGGGTCACAGCTGCTGTTCCTGAGCTAATTCTTGGCAAAGGACTTGGCAAAGGGAAGGGGAGCCACAAAAGTATTTGGACCTTAATGTAAAAGTACTGGGGAGCTAAGGAATGTTTCTGAAGAGATGATATCAACAATGAGTTGATGTGTTAGATAATGAATGACAGGAATCTAATATTATCTATTAGGTTATATCCTCATCATCATTTATTATGACTCATATTTACGGGGATTTTATCATGGATTCAATAAGGTGATGCTTGTTAATACTTGATAGATTATCTCATTTAATCCTCTCAACAATTTTGTAGGTAGGTACTAAGCAATGCTAGTAACACAAACAGAAGGGAGAAACTGAGTGTGGCCCAGAGTACACAGCTGGTGGGAAGGCCAGCTCTACCCTAGCGAAGTGACTTACCAAGTGTCTACTCTGTACCTTCCTGCTCTTAGGGTGTGGAGTGGCTGTGGTCCCCCGCTATGGCCACCATCCATCCAGCCCCACGGCCTCTCTGTACTTCTCTCCTGCAGGTGCCTTGGATGGGACAGCTGGTCTGCATGTAGGAGCTGCCCCAGGGTCTCTGCTTCACAGTCCAGCTGGCATGGCCTCCCGAGGCATGCTGGCTCTGGGCCCTATGACTAGCCACGGGGCCAGTGTAAGTGCTGCTACATGGGTTGAGGAGTGGAGGGGGTGTCCCTTAGGGCTGGGATGCCCACTGCCACCCTGACCCTCTGTTTCTTCCTCTCCTGGCCCCAGCAGATGAGCCAGTACCCAGTGAGGGGCCAGCCATCATCCAGCCTGCAGGATGCTCCACAGCTCTACTCCCCTACCATCCAAGCACAGTTCCCACTGACCTCTGGGGTCCAGCAGGTATGATGGTTCAGAGAAGCCCTGGACAGAGAGGCAGATACCCTTGTTTTGGGCCAACCAGGGGTTTCTTTAAGGCTGCTTATTGATCGGGAACATGGGGGATAAAATTTCCACAATGCCTGTGTCATGAAATCATCTGTTCAGTCCCCTGCAATTCCTGCCATGGGCACAGACAGTGCTTTCTGTGGCTGTAAAACCCTGTACCATACCTTATAGAGTGGAGGGCACCTCAGAGACCAGGGGTTTGAGGGACTGTGACTGACTTAACGTTCTCTCTCACCTTTTCTCTCTACTGTCCGCGGAAGTGTCCTTCTATGGGCCTCTACAGCTCCTCGTTTGGGGCGCGGCCTCCCTATGCCCAGGCTCACTTGGCAGTGCATTCGTCTCAGGAACCGCACCCCAAACATTACCCCAAGCCCATCTATTCCTACAGGTAAGCTTCAAGGGGCTCAGGAAGGAGACAGACAAAGAGGAAAGGGCTGTACCCAGAGCAACCAGACAAGCTGGGAGAGGTGACCCAGATTTCCACGGGGAAGGTTTGGGGGAGTGGGGAACCCCCAGGTAGGACTGTTCTCATAAAGGACCACCACAGGTCAGTCTACCCATGAACCCACTTCCGACACTAACACTCTATTATTCAAAAGCTGTGTGTCCTCAGAGACATTCCTTGGCCTCGTTGAGCCTCAGTTTCCTCAAATGCATAAAGTCAGTAAAGTAATACTATTGTGTATCTCAGGTATTTGGGGAAGCAGGAAGCAGTCTAGGCAAAGTCTAAAGGCCCTTGACACTAATTATGGGGATAAAAACAGGGAAAAAAAAGAACTGAGCCCAGTGTCAAGAAGGGCAGGGGGTGGGAAAGACAGGCCCTGGAAAGGTGTTGAGAATGTTCCCTAGGTGACGTAAGAGCTTGTACATGTGGGGGCAAGCAGGGCAGGCTTCCTGGCACAGGGAACTTCAGGGTGTCAACACGCGACCACTTTATGCCCTCCTGCTCCATGTCTTGTCCCCAGCTGTCTGATTGCCATGGCCCTAAAGAACAGCAAGACAGGCAGCCTGCCTGTGAGCGAGATCTACAGCTTCATGAAGGAGCACTTCCCGTACTTCAAGGTGAGGAGTCCCACCCAGGGCCGGGCTCTGGGGCTCCCCTCATCTTTCCCGGGCACTGCAGGAATCCAGGGTGGCCCTAGATCAAAAATGCCCCCCTCCCCACTTAGGCTCCAGGTTTTACCTGTATATATACTATGAATGATAAATGCATGTACATGCACAGAAAGGCATTTGAAAAGAGACATTTAAACTGAGCTCTGATGGATGAAGAGGAGTTCACCATGCACCTTGCCAGGGAAAGGGGTAAGGGGCCTAGTCTAGTTATTCAGTGCAGATTTAGTAAACCATATAATGCAAAACACACAGTTGGCAAGAGCCCTCACCTCTCTGAGCCTCAATATCCTTGTCTGTAAAGTGGGAAAAACACCCAGTTGGTAAGTTAATGAGGATTACGCTCTGAAAGATACTGCTGGCATATGGTTTGGCCATTAGTAGTGCTACCCTTGTTAGCATCAAAGCAAAAACAAGAGGAGGGGGTCAGAGGGTAGCAGGCTGCAGAGTTCCTGGCCTGGAAAGCATTCCTCAGCAGAAGCAGTGCAACACTGTGTGTGTGTCTGTAGGGTCTGGGTACTTCACAGTATCTGGTTAGCTAGGAATAAAGTGAGCGTTTAAGCGCAACTGAGCAGCTACTTACTGAAGAAAGCCATTCTTGCCGGCTGGCTGCCTGAGTAGGAAAGGCCAGAACGAGGATTCCGGAGGATTTCGTCAGTGGGCGTCCACATAGGAACCCCAGGAGCAGCTGACTCGCGCTCCCTGTGGGCCTCGCTTTTGCCTGTACTTTGAGGCTCAGTGCCGCATGCTGCCCTGTCATCCTTGCCATGACGGTGTCGTGTCCCGACAGGCGGGAGTCTGAGGGCGCACAGGTCAGGACGGGGTTTACCAGGCGGTCTCTGAGCGGTTATGTGCGCTGCATCTCCCTGCAGACGGCTCCCGATGGTTGGAAGAACTCCGTGCGGCACAACCTGTCCCTGAACAAGTGCTTTGAGAAAGTGGAGAATAAGATGAGTGGCTCCTCACGAAAGGGCTGCCTCTGGGCCCTGAACCTGGCCCGCATTGACAAGATGGAGGAGGAAATGCACAAGTGGAAGAGGAAGGACCTGGCCGCCATTCACCGGAGCATGGCCAATCCGGGTGAGGCCTGGATAATCCCACCACGCATGCGCGCGCACATGGCCTTGTGCGCATGTGCACACATGCACAGGCGTCCACCACTTCCCTGCAAGGCCTGGGAATCCCTCAGATATGATTTTGGGGGGAAGCAGGTGTCCAGGGTGACTTATTCACCCCTGCCCCGTGTCTGGCAAATTGAGGGGCTGGATCATAAAAAGCTGTTAGCTCAGCATCACTTACAGTCGTTTGTGCAGAAGCACCACACCACACAATCGGAATAGAAGAGGTGTTTAACACGCATGTGGGCTGGGATGTAGGAAGTAGGTGTCTTCTGATACAATAGGTGGGAACCTAAACTGTGAAACTGTTTATGGGCAAAATAATGCATAAAAGTCCCACAGGGTGGCTGGGCTTATAGTGCAGGTCTGTCATCCCAGCTTTGTTGGGAGGATTGCAAATTTGAGTCGAGCCTGAGCAACTTAGCCAGAACCTGTCTCAAAATTAAGAAATCAAAAGGGGCTGGGGGTATAACTCAGTGGCAGAGCAACCCTGGATTCAGTCCCAGGTACAAACAACCCTCCTGCAAACTGTCCCCATGCATTAGTCCTCTTACTTCAGAATGACAGTTTAGGATAAGGAAATCAAAGATTTGTGAAAAAAAAGTATGAACTAAGTTATCCACACCTGCTTTCAGCTGCCCAATAAACAATTAAGAGCCATTTAAGCATTCTACAGTTAAATGTGGGCCATATCATGGAAATATTAAAGATAAAAATATTTTTAAATATTTTTGGAATATAAAGAAATGTCCTCAATGCAATAAATAAATTAGGCAGGTTATTAATCATTATACCGTATACAGCAGGACTATATTTTAAAATGGATATGTAAGCTGGATGTGGTGGCACATGCCTGTAGTATCTGGACTCAGGAGATTGAGGCAAGAGGATTGTTAGTCTGAAGTTGACATTTGCCACATAGTGATTTGAAGCATAATTTATATCTATGATCTATGTCTGTATCATATCCCAGATCCATTTTTACCAAAAAATACACCCATTTATTTAGAGAGAGAATGTGAATGTTCATCTGGGAAGAAATAAAATAAAAACTTTTTTGTGAATGGAGAAACCACTGATAATTTTTATTATTTATGTATATTTGGTTTTTGGAGACATGCTACTCACTATGTAGTCCAGGATGGCTTTGAACTTGCTAAATTGTTTTGGATGGCCTTGAATTCACAGTCCTCCTGCCTCAGCCTCCCAGTTGTTAGGATTATAGGTCTATGCCATCATATCTGGATTTCTGATAGTCCTTATATTGTTCAAATACTTATGCATGTGCTAAAACTTTTACACTGTCCATGTATTATTTTTGAAGATTACATTTGTTATTTTTTTAATTGTGTGAAAAGGGTCCATACACAGGGGATTATACAGCAGCAGGATGCTTCTGCCCTGTCCTAGGAACCAGTGGTCTGGATTTGGGGATGCCATTTTCCTTGAGGTTTGGCATGAAGGGACTAGAACCACTTATAAGAAGGTGGAGGACAGGCTGCAGCAGGGACCAAGAGCCCCTGGCTTAGGGCAGCACATGGTGTCCACCCTACACAGCTGGCTTGAGAGTCAGGGCCAGCTTTGACATGTTTTTAGTGTGGGATCTTGGGTAGATCATTCTGCCTTCTAGGTTCTAGGTATCCTCATTTCTAAAGTATATGCCACTTTAATAGATCCCAGGACCTTGATGGTCCAGCCTTGGCGTGGTTTTTCATTCAGTGAGACATAGCCAACAACTTTGTGCCAACAGTCATTTCTCTATTTCCTTGTCTGTATCCAAGGATACAGGCTGTGCTTGTCTGGTTTTGTTTCTAGTGCTAGGGATCGAACCTGGGGTATTGCACATGTTAGGCAAAGGTTCATATCCCCTTGCTCCCCATTTTTTTTGTTTTTTTGAGACAAGGTTTTGCTAAGTTGCCTGGATTGACCCTGAACTTGTGATCCTCCCACCCCAGCCTGCTGATTAGCTGGAATTACAGCCATGGGTGCACTGTGCCTGAGGAAGCATATAGCAACCCTTAGCAACACTTCTTAATGTTTATTTGTAGCTAGAGTAGCTAGACATCTTTGTATGTTAAAAGTCTTGTCCCAGTCTTGTGGAATCCAGAATCTCTGCCTTAGTTCTCTCTTGCAGGCAGGGCTCATCAGAGGTCAAGAGAGTGCTAAGGTGACAAGCCTGTGCTATAAGGCACCAACTAAAGGAAGGACTAAGGTTATTTGCTGGCACCTGTCATTAATCAAAGGTCCCACACCATCACTGATGTCACTGTGTGCAGCGTATGATGCCATTTCATAGATGAGGAGATAGAGGTTCAGAAAGTCCCAGAGGCATGCTGAGTTCACACAGGTGGTAGTGCCAGGGCTTGGACCCAGGTCTAGGCTGGAATCTGGTCTCTTCAAGGTACTCTTAGTGATCTCTCCCTCTTGCTTGCAGAGGAGCTGGACAAGCTGATCTCAGACCGGCCAGAAAGCTGCCGGCGCTCTGGCAAACCAGGAGAACCTGAGGCCCCTGTGCTCACTCATGCCGCCTCAGTGGCCATGGCCCACAGCTGCCTGGCTGTCTCCCAGCTCCCACCACAGACACTGATGACCCTGTCCCTGCAGTCCATCCCCCTGCACCACCAGGTCCAGCCCCAGGCACATCTAACGCCAGACTCTCCAGCACCAGCCCAGACCCCGCCCCTGCACGCCCTGCCAGACATGAGCTGCAGCCCCGTCTCCCAGCCTGCCCTGGGCCGGGCCCCCATGGACTTCATCAACATCAGCACTGACATGAGCACGGAGGTGGATGCCCTGGACCCCAGCATCATGGACTTCGCTCTGCAGGGTAAGACTGGAGGAGTGGGGTGGTAAAAGCTGGGAGGGAGAGCATGGGACTGTGTCGTCCACGGCCCATAGCCACTAACACTGGCACAATGAGCTACTAATAAGTGCTTACTGTATACTGGGCCCCAGGCCAAATACATCATCAGCATCATCTCATCCCAGCCTGCCGTGTCCTCAGAGGCCACTGCCATTTGATGCCCTCATCGTGCCAATGAAGACACTTGTGTCACTGACTTGAGGTGACCTGGCCGGTCAGTGATGGAGCTGGCATTGAAGCCCAGGTCTGTCTGGCCCCAAATTTTTCATCTGTAATATGCATATGCCAGGGGCTGGGGATTTAGCTCAGCGGCATAAGCGCCTGCCTTGCAAGCAGGCAGTCGTGAGTTCGATCCCTGGTACCGATAAAAACGAAAAAGACAAAAAAAAAAAAACAAACATGCATATGCCAACCTTAGGTCAGGTCACACCATGACCCACGGCTTGCCACATGGTCATTCTCTAGAAATGTGACACTCTAGAAAGTTGTGGTATGAGGTCTGCAAGTTCAAGTCTGGCCTCGGCATCTTAGCGAGGCTTTGTCTCAAAATAAAAAATAGAACAGGGATGGGATGGAGCTCAGTGCGAAGGACGAGGTTCAGTCCCCAGTGCTGCCAAATACATAAATAATGAACAGGATGTGAATGAATGAATGAAAGAACAGGCAGAGGGCTGAGATTTCAGGGGAGCCTCCCAGTTCACCCATTTGCTACAGCTTCCATGAGTGCACTTGCTGTACCCCAGCCAAGGGCCAGAGCCCCATCTAGCAGTTCCAGCTCTAACAAGGGTAATGGACAAGTTGGCAGGTTGGTTGGTTAGTTAGTATGTTAGTTACAGCTGCGATCCTTTCCGCCTGTCTTCTGGGTTGCTGTGTAGTTAAGTGTACTGAGGGGGAGACACCACACAATGAGAGCTGAGTGCATTTAACACACCCTCTTGTGAAACCCTTATAACAACCCTCAGAGGTAGATCTTCAGATCATCTGTGTTTTATTCTGAGGCTCGGAGACAGAAGTGACTTTCCCCAGAGCTCACAACAAGAAGAGCAGGCTGGGACTGGAACTCTGTTTCCTCCACACTGTTTGTCTATGACAAATGCCCTTAAACACCATGCAAGGTCTTTGGCTCTTCCCCAAGACAGAGATTCAATCTCTGGCCTGTTTCACCTGAAGCCAGCTCACCTGAGTGCTTTTGTCTTTGCAAGGGAACCTGTGGGAAGAGATGAAGGATGAGGGCTTCAGCCTGGACACGCTGGGGACCTTTGGAGACTCCCCTCTTGGCTGTGATCTGGGGGCCTCGGGCCTGACCCCTGTCTCTGGCAGCAGCGAGCAGTCCTTCCCAGATGTGCAGGTGACTGGTCTGTATGCTGCGTACTCCACCCCGGACAGTGTGGCTTCGTCGGGGGCCACGTCCTCCTCCCAGTACCTGGGCACCCCAGGGAACAAGCCCATAGCCCTGCTTTGAGCTCATGGCCTCAACTACCCCCAGAGCCCTCTTGTAGCAGGCTTGGGCAGGAAAGAGGACTGCCCTGGGTGTTCCGGGAAGAAAGACCTCTCGCTGTCCCATAGGCCTCTCCTGAACCTTTGGTTAGGCCGCAGGCTGGGCAGGGAAGCAGGCCTTCTCAGCATGGTTGTGGTCTCTCTGGGCTCCTATGAGGAGCTTCTGGAGTCCTCCCAAGTTGGAAGGACCAAGGAGAGTCCAGCTCAGCCTTTCCCTTGCCTCCAGGTCTACTCCTGAGGGTGGGCCTGCTCTAGGCTAGGCCCGTCAGGGACTTGAGCCCTGCAGACACTCAGTGGGAAGCTTGGAGGCGGGAGGGGCACAGGCTGAGCTGGCTGAAACCTCTCCCTCAGTGTCAGAGGATGGGCCCAAGGCTGGAGAGGGGCTGGCGACCCCTGGGACTTCTCCTGGACCGACAGGCTGAACTCTGCAATGATTCCTGCTTGTGCAGCTCCAGCCCCACGCTTCAGCCTCTGTAGTATGATAGGATTTCGTAGCGCAGCCTGCTGGGCCATGCCAGGCACTGAGACCATGTATAAATTTATTTATATTTATTGTGACCCATTCTGTCACCCTGTGAACCCAGCTGGAGTATGAGACTCCTCCATCCCTCTACACATCCCAGCCATCCTGAATCCTAAATTATCAGTGAATCACATCTCTCACAGGCTCACCACTGGTTGGCAACCTTGGGTTTCTTTTTAGAACAAGCAAGCACTTTTGATAACTGTGAAGCATTCTATTTTTAATACTAGAGAGCAGATATTTTTCTAACTGTCTAGTCATGGTTCAGCTTATCCCTATGGACAGCTAGGAAGGGAGTGTGATCTGGGGCTTGGGGAGGTCCCAAAGCCCAGTGGGGTGAGAGTGGGAGGAACAGGGTGGGGCTCTTTTGGTAATGAGGCTTAAGACACCCCTGAACACTGGGAAGCAAAGGCAGCAGACTGGGGACCGCATGAAGCTGGCCCACATAGTGACTGTAGTGCAGGACATTTAATGGCATTTGTTTCCTTGTCTCTTAGCCCTGTGCCTGTTTTTATGTGTCTTCTCCCTTTTTTGCCAATGACTGATTTTCCAACTGGAAGGTTCTGGGGGGCGGGTGGTTAGTGGGAATAGCGGTGAGTGGCTGGGGACAGCCTTCCCACGGGAGGCAGAAGCTGCCACTCCAGCAGCGAGGACACTGGCCTCCTCCCTGCCACCCGATGCTTGGCTTCTGTGTCTGGGGTTCCCAAACCTACAGCCAGGATGCTCTGATCAGTGCCAGTCCAGACAAGTGACCTAACTGCAAGGCTGGCATTACGCCCTGGCTTGAAGGCCTTAAAGTTCTGGAACCTTCTGCTGAGTGTCACGATCCTGAGCGCCCAGCGCATCCATCTGACTTGTGCTGCTTTGTGTACCACGACCCCCACAATTGTTTCAGTTGTTAATGAAGAGCCCGTGTTCAGGCAGCACCAAGAACCCAGTAGCGTAGAATTGGATGACTAAGTGTCTTCTGTCAATAAAGACTGAACGGCAGCTCTGTGGCTTGTGTGAGGTGGGAAGAGGGGAAGGGGGCAGGGTGAAAGGGTAGCACCCACTGCTAAAGCCAGGTGCTCTAATACAGGCTCTCATTGCAGTGGGGTCGGGACTGGGGGCAGTGGTATTACCAGCAAAACTAGTGTGGCCTCCAGTTACTGTCCTCAGCACCAGCACTGGACAGATGTCTCAGGCATGGACCATGGATGCTAATTACCACCTCAAAAGCAGAGGCTCAGAGAGGCTGGGTAGAGCAGAGTGTGTGTGTGTGTGTGTGTGTGTGTGTGTGTGTGTGAGACCCCAGGATGTGACAAAGCCCAGGAGCTGCCCCTTGGGTGTGTACCCGGGGTGAGAGGAGACACCAGGCACCTGCTGCCCCCAGGCCCTTGCTAACCACTGCTGTGAGTTCATTCAGTATCTACGGTGCGGTAGCCCCAGCAGGAGTGACCAAACACACTCATTTTACACATGAAGAGATGGAGGCTCAGAGGAATAAACCAGGTGACTAGTTACTGTTAAAATAGCAGCGAGGTACATTAGGAGTCTGACTGTTCAGCCCACCCAGGAAGTGGCTTACAGCTATGTATCGCTGGCTTCCACCTGTCTGTGGCCAAAACAAAATAACAGCAATAACGAAAACATGTCAGACCCAATTGCTGGACAAAGAGGCTATAGCTTTATCATCCCAACTTAACTTCCCAGGGCAAGGAGGGCTCTCTATAGCTCCTGCAAAGCCCCTGGGGTGACAGTTGTTAGCTGTGACCACCCTCTGCCCATCCCTCCTCCAAGTCCTTGCTGGAGGTGGCTGGGGGCTGCGATGCTCCTATTGGTTAAGCCCGAGTCACAGGTCTATGAAGGAGCAGAGTCAAGGAGTAGGGTTACAGCCTCTGTGTGGAGTCAAGGCAGAAGGTCAAGGTCACAAGATCATGAGCTCTAGATACAGCCATAGCCTCAGCCAGAGTCCCCCCGCCCCCAGTACAGTCCATTTGCTGGCTTTGAAGATGGAATGGGACTTCAAGAAGCTGCACATGACCAGGAAATGGATTTCCCCTCCGAACCTCTAGGTATCACACAGCCCTGCAGAGACCTTGATTTCAGCTGGATTCCAGCTTGATTTGAGCTGGATTTTGGACTTTTGACCTCGGGAACTGTATGGTAAGCTTTGGTTACATTAAGCCGCTGTTGCAGCAGCTATAAGAAACCGATACATTGCCCCTTTACAGAGGAGGTGACAGGGCAGACGTGTGATGACGCCGAGGGACGGAGATGGATTCAAACAACACTGTGCCTCCTCACTGACCTTCCTCAGGTCTCAGACTCACAGTGTCTGCTTGCTGCTCACTAGAGAAACAGATTTAATGTTTACATATGTAAGAATTTACAACACTGCTTACAATGGCTGCCCAGAGTCAGGTGTGGAGGAGTCAAAAAGGCTGTCTGTGTGGTAGAGATCTGAAGGATCCAGTTGGAGGCCCGGAGCTCAGTGTGGTGTCCTCTGGGAATCCAGAGCTCTGTGCTGGAGGCTGAAGAGTCCTCAGGAAGCCAGAAGATGACATCCAAGGTGAAGGCAAAGACTGGAACTCCTCCAAAGAATCAGCCTCGAGCCTGCCTTCTTCTCTTCTCCTTTACACCATTCAGGCAATAAGCAGCCCTAGGGCGGGTCCTCTGGTCTCCTTTAGCAGATGCCCTCGGCCACACTGAGAGCAATGCTGATCCAGTTTAATTGGGCCTGTCTTACTCAAGTTGACATAGTTGATTTGGCTCCCCCAGTCCCTGCCCTGGCTCTGCATCCACTGGTGGAGGTTTGAGGCAAGGATCAGAGGGCTGGATAACAGCTGGGGGAGGGCCAGGTGGTGGTGTCAGGCATTGGTTCTTTTGGACAAAGCTAGAAATGTTGGCAGCTCCTCCCATACACAGATGCCAAAGGAGTCACAGCTCCTGTGGGCGGCTTCAAAGGCAGCCAGGGGCAAGGTGGTGGTGGTGGTGCAGGCTGGGCTTCATGCCCACCCACCAGGGCACCGTGGACACTGATTTGTGCCCAGCACGAGAACCCAACATGTCCACAGGGCTTTCCAGCATCTGCTCAATCAGCTGTCATGGGACAGGAGCCAACATGACCAGGGGACAGAGAACAACTCACTTCACCTCTGGGCCTGTGTCCTCCTCTTCACAAGACAACCCCATGAGCAGGAGCATGTTGGATTGACTAGCCTTGAGACCTCCTGAAAGTGAGCAGTTTCTCTAACTATGGAAACCTGGTCAGATTTGCTGATTATTAGCATCTCTTGGAGAGATTTCTGTGTCTGTCTGTCTGTCCTGTTATCTATCTGTGTCCCTCTGCTCCAGGAAGTTCTGAATGAGAAGGGCTGAGGGTCACTCTGAGTGTTTTGCTTTTTGAAACAGGGTCATGCTAAGTTGGCCATGCTGGCCTCGAACTTGCGATTCTCCTGCTCAACGACCATGCCCAGGTAGTCTTAGTTTTTAAGAAGTGTTCCTGGTGCTTCTGAAGATATTTCAAGGCAGAGGGCACAGAGGGGTCCCTGGATGGGCCTCCTAACTGAGATAAGGCAGAGCCAAGCACTGTAGAGCTCAGGACATTCCTCCAACCAGGACCGAGGGAGCTCTGATGCTTGCATGGTCATAAGTGATGGGAAGACAGGAGATGGCTCCAGGAGGGCAAAGGCAGTGGAAATGGACAAGTAGGCAAGATGGACACCCCACGGGGCCCTCCTCACCAAGGATGGGCCTGGCTGCCGGCTGTTTGTTTCTCTGGTCTGTCACCTCCATGTTGGGCTGTGGCAGAAGGGAGCTAAGCACGGCCACTAGCACAGGGGCAGCTGGGGAGGTGAGGTAACGGAGGCAGAGGAATCTAGAACTTCAGGACTCCCAGGCGGGGGGCTGTTAGTACCTGTGATGTGTGAGGCACATGCTCAAAAAGATCCTCTGACTTGACTTCAGATTACTTCTATTCGCTCCTTTGAGGGTCAAACAAACCAAAGCCAAAACAAAACAATCCTCCCATTCCTCCAGAAAACACGCAGTGTGGGCAGGATGTGGAGAAGCTGGCACACTTGTGTATTCCTGGTGGGATGTGGAATGGTGCGACGGAAAACACAATGACAAGTCCTCAAAAATTTAAACACACACACGACCGAGTGACCCCTACTTCTGGATTTATATCCCCAAAGAACTGAAAGCAGGGGCCCAAATGCATGTGTATACAGCCATGTTCTTAGTGGTGTTGCTCACAGCAGCCAAAATGTAGAAGCAACCAGTGACCATCAACAAATGAATCGAAAGAACCGTGCTATACCAACAAAGTGGGGTATCATCAGCTCTGAAGAGGAAGGGAATCCTGACACGGGCTCCAAGATGCGTGAACATGAGGACACTAAAGGAAATAAGTCAGACACAAAAAGATAAGTACTGTGGGGTTTCAGACAGAAAGAATGGCAGGCATCAGGAACTGCGGGATGGGGTGTTACCTTTCAGTGGGTATGAGCTTTCTATTTGCAAGAGGAGGGATGGAGATGGGTTGCACAGGAATTAAGGGCCAGCAACAGTGCTGGTGGGGCCAAGACAAGTCAAGCCATAGCACAGAGCTGGGGGAAGGCAGGAAGGTAGGGGTCTGGCCCCTCCCTTTGATGGCTGTGTGTGAACTCGGAGAAGTCTACCCATCTCTGAGCCCAGCTTTTCTTGTCTACAAAGATGATGGGAGAGTGCATGCAGCACTTATCTTAGAGGTGCACGGGAGGATTCCACAGGATGAGGCCGGGTCTTGGTGGGCTGTCAGCTGTCCTCTGCAGGGCCATTCCACGCGGTGAGCTGACCCTTCCTCCCTTCCCTTTGGGACTACTGTGTGGGGAGGTACTTTCTGAGGATTACCAATGAGCTAAACTCCAGCATCATTAGGCAGGAGAGGGCAGTTTGTGTCCATGTTGGAAATCAAGCTGACAATGCTAGGCAATCTACCTGTAGCCTTTGGGACACTAATAAAACAAGGGGTTCTCCCTCCACAGCCAGAGTGCTGGCTGGCTCTTAGCTTGCTTACCTTTGCCTTCCTGAGGTATCCGGTGATGAAGGAGCATCTTTATGGTACTGATTGGGTGGGCATTAACTGCTGCCACTGGGTACAAGCCTCAAAAAAACTTGTACAGGTTCTGGGGCCTGGGCCACTGACAGCAGGTGAGGCCTGATCCAGGCCTCTAAAATCTTCCAACAGGACTGGCCCTCTCTTTCCATCTCTGGGACTGCTTCCCTCTGTATTGACAGGTTCTGTCCACCTGTCAATATGGTCAGCTACCCTCAGAGCTCTACTGATTGGCTCTACTGAAGGCCCAGACCCACACCCAGGCTAATCACCTCCAAAGCGAATGGGGAACTTAGATTGCTAAGGTGAGAAAGATGTTGGTTAGAAAAAAAAATACTCATTATATGTTTTGGAGAAAAAAATAAGTCAAATAGTCCCTTTGTATTGACAGGTCGTAGTAGAAGAGAAAGAATTCTCCCGCAGTTAGGATCTGTGCTGCCCCAACCTGTCATGAACCTACGCCAAAAGGAAGAGGCAGGCTCAGTGGCGGACGACTTAATGCACCTTTGCCTCCCTGGGCCTTGCTTCCTTCTCTGATTAAGAGGGGTGAGTGAGGGTGGATAGGAGGAGTAGAATTTGATGTAAAAAGCACCTGGCCCTCCCTCACTTCTCCGCGGCTTGTTTTGCTAGGCATATGCACGAGGCACCATATAGTTTTTTAAAAAATAAAGCCTAGCATTGCTTAGGAAAGAGGATCTTTTTGGGAACCACGACCCAGTCCTTGGCTTCCGTCCACTGCATCCCCAGCTACTCCAGGGAGCACCGTACGCAGAAGGAGGGCTCAAAGCGGGAAGAGCCAGCAGCCAGCCTGCCTTTTCTGGTTCACACAATAAGTCAAGGTTAAAGCATATTCAAAAATAGTTTATTCTGCATGCTTACCTGGCAGGCTGTCTGCCCACCATGC